GACTGGTCTGGTACACTGTTTCACTACCTGGCTGGTCTGGTCCATTGTCTCACCACCTGGCTGGTCTGGTTCATTGTCTCACCACCTGCCTGGTCTGGTCCACTGCATCACTGCTGCTGAGCTGTCCATTGATTGTAGGCCTTGTCTCCAAGAAAGGAAGGCAGCATGACATCACATTTGCTGATGAGGGTGCTCAGGACGATCACAGAAATGGGGAGTCAGTGACCACATCTGGAAACTAGCAGAGGTGCCTGCTGCCCTGTTTACCTTCTAGTCGGTCCTGTCAATAGAAAACTTTTGATCACAGCAGATCCTGGTTTTCCTTGCAGATTGATGTTCCAGAAAGTTGAATAGCTCGCTGCCAATGCTGAGTCCCCATTGCCTTCATCACATCTGTGAGGAGTTGCCAGATCCTGCAGGTATATGACAGGTAGTGAATATCTCCATGGATGGCCTTTGTGGTGGGGAACTCAGAGACATGCAGCTTCAAGGTTGTTCCGTGAACTTCCTGGAACCTGCAGTGATTTGTTACTGTAGTTGTTTGTCAAACCCAGAAGAAGGTCTTCTGGTGAGCTCTTTTAGGTTTGTTTCTTGCAATGGCGATGTATTCCTCCTCAGCTGGTAATTCTGTGCTTTCCACCCAGCCATAGTACCTCTCGGCAATGACGCAGACGATACCTGTGGGCATGTGGAAGCAGGCAGTGACCTTCCTCGGTAGCTGTCCAGCACGGAAGACTTTGCAGACCGCGGGTCGTCGGTTTGGTTCTTTAGACACGGCCTGAAATGGCGGGAGTAAGTAAGCTGTGATGTCGAAAGCAGGTGCCACCAGGAATTACGCCAGACAAGAGACTTATCGTGTTGACGAGCTAGCTGGCTTGCCGCAAAGGCTGGCTAGCCCGCTGGCAGGAGCACGGATACCATGTAGATATAAATTCATGATACTAGAATGTTGGCTCTGACGGTTTCGGCACACGCAGCACTTCGTTAGTCGCTAATGTGCTGTCCTTTGACCATGAATCCTGACATCTGACCGTCCGCCCGGTTTGCCAAGCCAGAGGCGCCTAGATGTGGTGTCGAGGATCGATACTTATTGGCCCGTTTTAGCGAGGAGAGGAGTAACCGGCAGTGAACCCCGAGCCGGAATGCGATAGTATGAAGAAATACCGGCATCTCCGCCACCCAATGACCGAATTTTATCACATCGCTGGTATTGGATTACCCTTTGTTGGGACTTAATCAATCACCTGATGTGGCACAGTAGACGGCATACGGTGATACTTAAAACAAAATTGATTGTGCCATATTCATAATTAGGGTGCTTTGGGACTAAATCAGTTCATATGCATCTTTCTGAGTAGGAATCTTGTTTATTCGAACCAAAAAGAAGCATACCGAAATAAAGACCATGGCACGTCAAATTAGTATTCGTTGCCCAGGCCGTGACCACTGCCTTTGACCGTCACCAACCTAGTTTGTTTTTTATTTTGATATGAGAAAGGCCACTATAGATTTGTTTTGGCACTCCTAGATCGGACCTAACTGATTACTGGTCCCCTGAACCAGCCGCGAGGGTCCGGGAAACATGCAAGTCCTTGCCCAGTCAGACTTGCGCTAGCTAGTCAAGGTTTTATTTGTCGTCTTCTTCTGCTGCGCTGTTGTCTTTGGCTCTGTGTCCCTGAATGTGGTGGCATTGATATTGTGTCTGACCACGTGTGCGGGCAGGCAAGCCTGTGGTGAGTGCAGATGCGCTTGTGTTGTAGGGCGCGTCTCGTATACGCTTGGGGTAGAAAACGAAATGTCTCCGTGTGTTTATTTCACTACTTCTGTGACGATATTATTGTAGTTCGGGCTCCTGTTAAGAGAGTTGCGCAGTCTCTGGTGACTAGCATCTTTATTTTACGAGCTCCTCAACGGTGTTCACTCTGTTTGGCTGGCCCCTCGACGGTGTTCACTTGTTTATGACCATGGGTATTGTATGAGATGTATCATGTTGACTGAACACGTTGTGAACACGAACACTGACTCACTTTGCTGACCTTACCTCACCCTCTGACCTGCTGTGCCGACTATGCCTCACCCCCTGACCCGCTGTGGCGACCTTGCCTCACCTTCTGACCCGCTGTACCGACCTTGCCTCACCCTCTGACCCGCTGTACCGACCTTGCCTCGCCCTCTGACCCGCTGTGCCAACCTTGCCTCACCCTCTGACCCGCTGTACCGACCTTGCCTCACCCTCTGGCCCGCTGTACCGACCTTGCCTCGCCCTATGACCCGCTGTGCTGACATTTCCCCGCTCTCCGACCACCGCCGTTGACCACGCCTGCTGTCCAGAGAGATGGCGACCGGCGTAGAAGCCATCTCGGAGGGGGACGACTGGTCCGGCGACGAATTGGAGGAGGGCGAGATCCCGGACGGAGACTGGCACGTGCTAGACCAGGTGGGCCAGCCTGGCGGTGGCCGGGCGCGCTCGCCGGCCGCGGCGTCCGCCCGCAGGACACGCGCCACGGGCCGGCCGTCGCACGACAAGGCGCCCCGCCGCCACCGACACAGGAGGTCCTCCCACTCAGGTGAGTGGCCGCCCGGCTGCGGAGCTGTGGTATGCCAGCCGGGAGGGTGGGAGTCCGTCCCACGAGGTAGTTAGCGGCAGACATGGCTCGAGACTGGGAGAGATGCACCTGTCACTCAACCTCGCATTCGCCAAAGCAACTGGTAAATTTGGCCTTGTATAATACGCACTGGCCGTGCTGTATGGCCTATATGTCTATCTATCTGTCTGTCTACGTATATATACATATATGTAATACATATATATATATATATATATATATATATATATATATATATATATATATATATATATATATATATGGCCTATTGATATGTCCCGACGTCAGCGCGGTGGGCTAGCCGTAGTCGGGTCAGCCGTTCCTGATCGGATCTGACCCGGCATGAGCCCAGCAGAATGACCGATATTCACTTGTGAGAAGTGACGTCCCGCACTGTCGTGGTCGCCGGGCCGGTGTGTGACGCTGTGCCCGCTGTCCGGCGCTGCAGGCAAAGAGAACTCGAGCGACTCTGGCTCGGAGGGCGGCCGCCACTGCCGGCGCAGCCAGCGGCGCCACCCGTCGTCCCGGCACGACCACGGCCGCGCGCGCCGCTCGCCGCACCGGCCCGGCCGGCGCCGCCGCTCACCGCCACCTCCGGCCCCGCTGAAGCGGCGTCCATCTCCGCCGGCGTCTGCGCCGCCGCCGCTACCGCTGCCGCCGGTGCCGCCGCCGCCGCCGTCGTCACGGCCGCCACCGCCGCCTCGCCCGCCGGTCGCGCCTGCCGCGCCGCCCAGTCCGCCGCCGCAGAGTCTGGGGGACCTGTGCTTGCGCGCCAAGCTGGCCAAGCTGGGGGCGGGACCGGAACCCGTGGCGGCGCACGAATCGCCGCGGCCGCACGACGAGCCCGAGATCATAGAGATCGCGCCACCGAAGAAGGCGTCGCCGCCGCTCATCGTGCTGGACGGGGACGAAGAGCTGCCGCCGGCCGAGGGGACGGCAGAGCGGCCGCCGCCGGCGGAGGGAGCGGCAGAGCGGCCGCCGCCGGCCAGCGGGGAGGAGCGCCCGCTGGACGGGCGGCCGGTGGGAGCCGCAGAGGCCGTTCCGGACCGAGAGCCGGCGGCGCGTGTGACCGACGGCGACGAGCCGGCCGCGCCGCCCGCAGCGGCCGGCGGGCGCGCTCAGCAGGCGACGGCCGACACCGAGGACGTCGCGATGGAGGAGGACGGCGAAGAGGAAGACGGGCCGGACGAGACGGAGCTGGAGCTGCGGCTGCTGGCGCTGCGCAGCGTCTTCGATCGGGTTCGCGAGGAGGAGGAGGAAGCGGAAGCAGCAGCCGCTGGAAGTGATGAAGATAAGGAGGGAGCCGCGGCAGAGGCGCCCGCGTCGAAGGGGGCCGTACAGAGCGGAACGATTGTTGAAGCCAGGGGCGGCTTGCCTCCGAAGGAGGTCGTTTTGCCCCGCGCCAGGACTGGTGCCGTTTCGTCCGGAGAAAAGGTGCCCAAAAGGAGAAGGGATAGTACCTCCAAGGAGAAACCACCTCCAGGGAACGCTGTCACCAAGAAGGCGAGCCGGGAAGCACGCTTACGGAGGAAGGACAGCAGACTGCGTAGGGTCTCAGGTAGTATGTTGAACGAAATGGAAAGACAATTATCAAAAAGAGATGACTTTAATAGGGCCATGTTTGAAAGTGATCCCTTGAAGTATTTTGTTGGGGCTCACCAGAAACAAGCTGTCTCCTCTATGTCTGAAGTATTCACCAAAAGCTCATACGCCGAACAGTTCGAGGCCTTCATGGAGGCAGTGAGTGCGCCTCGCACGGGTCCCAAGCGCCGGAAGTGCAGCTTTCTGTCCGAGGTGGAGAAACAGCTCGTTCTGCAGCCTCCTCCCCCGCCGCCTCCACCGCCGCCTTCGCTGTCGTCGCTTGTAGTCCCCCTGCCTGTGCTGCTGACGTACCCTCCACCGCCGCCGCCGCCACCGCCGCCACCCCCGCCGCCAGTGACCCCGCCGCCGCCTCCACCGCCACCCCCGGAGATTGCACCGCCGCTGGCTTCCGCGGCCACGGCGGCGGCTGCTCTGTCAGTCACCGCCGCGGCAGCCGTCGACATCGGGTCAACAGAGGCCCCGGCGACCGAGGCGCGTGTCCGTCCCCGCCGGCGCTCGCGGCGTCCGCTCGCGCACCCTGTCGGCGCCCGGTGACGAGGAGGAGGACGAGGACGTGCTGCGCGCGCAGCTGCTCATCTCCATGGCTGGTACGCAGGGGCGCGCGGCCCCCGCTGCCGCCACGGCGGCGGCGCCGGCCGCCCGGAGACCGGCCTCGGCGGCGTCCGCCCGCCAGAAGACCGGCGCCGCGGTCGCGCAGCCGGCCAAGCCGCGGTCTGCGGCGCCGGCGGCGCCTGGCCCTCGCAAGACCGCCGCCGCCGCCGCGCCGCAGGGAAGACGGCGTCCGGCGGCGGCGGTCGCTGCCGACCAGCCGGCCGCCAAGAGATTCATCATCAGCCTGCAGTCGGACTCTGACGACTCGGACGCGGCCGGCTCCGACTGCGAGCCGCCGACCGCCGGCGACTTCCAGGGCGAGTTAGACCGCTTCCTGCAGCAGGCGCGCGAGCGCACCAGCCGGCCGACAGACGCGGCGCCGACCGCGCCCAGCCGGCGCAGGCCGTCGGCCCGCCCGGCCGCGGCCAGCACGCCCAAGGTACGACCCGGATGGTGACGAGCGCGGCGAGCGCTGACCGGCGGCCCTGCTGAGGTGATGCGTGGCGCCACCTTCCCTGGAGGGCGGCGCCAGCGCGACTCTCTTGCGAAGGCGATCCAGCTTGTCCAGGATGTGCGTGGCGCCAGATGCTATGGTGCCTAGGGGAGGTTGCTAGCGGCTACGGATATCTTGTTCGAATGGTGAATGCACTGGTAGGGTGGCCAGCGTGGGTGTTTGGTTGCGGCTGATCAGGGATCAGTGGTGATCAGCGTTGTTTTATCGTGGTGTATTACGCATGAGCTATCTAGGACACGGGACGCTATAGGGGTTTTATTTGGCGCATGGTCTGTTCTGCAGCCTGTGTTGGGGTCTGCCTATTCCTACTCGGCTCGTGTCGGTCTGGGGCCGGGTCAACCCTCTCGAGTGAACTCCCCGATGACTTTGTCCCGTTTCAGGACCTGGCGAAGCTCTTGCCGAAGCACCAGCTGGACGAGTACATATATCTGAAGGAGCTGATCCGCGAGAAGGAGCGACAGAAACTGGCTGAGAAGAAGGCGCGGCAGCCGGCCGGCGCGGCCGAGCCGGTGGTGGCCGGCGGCGGGCAGCGGCAGGGCGGGGTGGCGGCCGGACCGGATCCTCCGCGGCCCGGGCCAGCCCGGACCGAGACGGCACTGGCGGCGGCACAGGTCGGTCCGGTGACTGTGTGTACCGCGCCGGTGGCGCTCCAGGGCCGGTCGAGCCGTACTCAGGTACCAAATGAGCAGACCGTGATGCAGCATAAGCTCGTGGCGCAACCCGAGCGCGCTGCGGAACAGCCTAGCCAGGCTCAACCTAAGCCTGTTACAGCGCAATCTAGGCCAGTTATGGCGCAACCTAAGCCAGTTGTGGCGCAACCCAAGCCGGTTGTGGCGCAACCCAAGCGAGCTGTGGCGCAACCTAGGTCAAATGCGGCACAACCTATGCAGACTGCGGTTCATCCCAAGTCGACCATGGTACAACAAACTATGCAGACTGCTGTTCATCCTAAGTCAGCTGCGGTTCAAGCTAAGCCGACTGCGGTACAACCTGAGCAGGCCGCCTTTCAGCATGATCAGGCCGTGGTTGATCCTAAGCCGGCCGTGGTAAAAGTGAACGAGTCCTTGCTTCATCCTAAATCGGCCGTGGGGTTGCCGAGTCTCCCCGTTGTCGCGCCGGCGCAGGATGTGTCGCGGCTTGGACAGGCACCGGGGCAGCTCCATCCAGTCGGAGTCGAAGGCAAACCAGCCGTGGCACAGCCCGATACGGTCGTGACGCAGTCAAAAACTGACTGCCGCCACCTTTTGAATGGCCGGCCGGAGCAGATTGGTACTAAGAAGCCGTTTGGTGCCACTGAAGCGCCGAACAAGCCTTTGCCGAGGGGTTCTAGCCCCCTGGACTCAGCAAATGTGCTGTGCGTGGGTGAGCCTCGGTCGGGCCAGGGGCGTCCTGCGCCCGCAGTGACCGGGTCCGAGCGTCCCTCGGCCAAACCGAGACCGGTGGTCTTCCTACCTAGGTCGGTTATTATGCAGCCCCAGTCGGCTGTGCCGCGACCCAAATCGGCCCCCGCACAGCCTGAAGCGGGTGTGGTGCGGCCAGAAACGGTACCAGACCCGGTGCAGCCTACCCAGACCCCGGTACTGTCCGCACAGCCCCCGATTTTGTCTGCCCAGGCCGCGGTACCACCCGCCCAGACCCTGGTCCCGCCCGCCCAGACCTCGGTTTCGTCTGCCCAGGCCGCGGAACCGCCCCGCCCAGACCCTGGTCCCGCCCGCCCAGACCTCGGTTTTGTCTGCCCAGACCGCAGTATCACCCGCGCGGGCCCCTGTGCCCCCTGTTCAGACCGCGGCGCCGCCCACCGAGACAGCGGCACAGTCCGCGCCGCCTGACCCGCCGCACAGAGTCCGTCCCGGGGGTCCTGCCGCCTTGCCGACGGCGCCGCCTCCCACCGCACAATTGAAGCCAGTCGAGGCCGGCGCGAGCTTAGCCGGCTCGGAGCGCGCGGTCGCCTCGCTCAGCGCCGCTGCTCCAGCCGCAGAGACACCTCCGTCAAACTGGGCGGGCCGGGAGCAGCAGCCGGCGCAGGAGGGCGACGCCCAGTCTGAGCATGCGCAGCCGGCGCCGACGGCCGCCGCTGGTCCGGACGGCAGACTGCCGCGACCCTGCGACGTGCCGCCCGACGGCACCGGCTTCCGCCCTCCGGCGCCGCCTGCACCGGAGGCCGCGCCACCTCTGGCCGTGGCTGACTGTCAGCGCCCGGGCGAAGGGGCGGCCGCGCCGGTGGCGGTGCCGGTCAGCTCGGGGACGGTGCCGCCCGTGTCGGGGCTGGCCGATGCCACGGAAGCGACCAGCTGCGTGGCGCCGGCCTCGGTTAGTCCCGCAGCGGACGCACCGCACCAAACCCACAAGAAGAGCATTTTCTACGTAAGCGACGACGAGGGCAGGAGTCCCGAGCCCTGGACGGCTCTTTTTGGTAAAGGAGCACGAAAGCCACTTAGTTTTGCCAGCAGCCCTTTTCGTTTTGAAGTGCTGAGAAAAACAGATGACACGGTCAGCGCGGAGACGGACTTCCGTCACTTTTTGAGTGGCTGCGTCAGAGGCGTTGGCGCCAAGAACGTGTTTGGTGCCGTTGATACTTTGAGGGAACTTTCACTGAGTGAAGCTAGTCCCGTGGATCCAGCAAATATGTCGTGCGTGGAAAGTATGGATCACTCCGACGTCGCGAGTCATCTTGCCAGCAAGATACTGTCATCGGACAACAGCATGGACATCTCTGCAAAAGACATCATGATGGGAGCCGAAGATGACGCGATGTCTTCCAGTTGCGACGTCCGCGGCAGTGGTGCGGAACAGTCCGCCGTACAGGCTAGTACGCAGTCGGCGCCAGACACAGTGGAGCAGTCGGTTCAGGAGACCGCCTCAGAGCCCGTCCCAGACAGCGATGACGCGCTGGGGAGACGGTTCGACGTGACTGAGTGCTCCGTCGTGGCGCACAGGCTGGTCCTGGCGAGTGAAGACGCCAGCGGCCTGCGTTCGAAGTCGGCCGCTGCGCCAACAGCGGGCCAGAGCGCGCTGCCGTCCGGCGCTGTCGCCCCTCCCCGGCCAGGGACTGTCCCAGATGCCGCCTGCCTCCCTGGAGGGGCGGACTCACTGGATGGCACCGGCGTGGCTGAGGCGCGGCCCTCAGCTGCGGCCAAGGCCAGGGCCGCTGGGCCGACCGTCGAGGCCTGTGACGCGATCGTGGCGGCGGAGGTCAGCAGCGAGGCCGCGGCAGAGGCGGCCGGCCGGCCGGCGCGGCCCCAGGCGAGGCCGCCGGCCGGCCGCTCCGGTCTCATGAGCGGCCTGCCGTCGCTCTGTATCACGCTCCAGCTGGACGGCAGGCACCAGGGCTGCTCAATCGAGTACGAGCCGGCCGGCGAGCAGCCACCGGCTGGCCGGGAGCAGTGTTCCATCACGGGTGAGCGCGAGACGACGCCGCCGATGCCGGCGGGGGCCGCGCGGCGCGAGACCGTGCTGTCGCCGGACGCCACCGACGACGACTTGGACAGGATGAAGCGGACGCTGATGACGCAGCAGCTACAGACGTCTGAGAAAAAGCTCCGCAGCGCCTGGTGAGTGTGGAAGCGCTTGCAACCCGACTGATAAATCAGAGCTTACGTAGCACCGGGCGTATGTTGAATTGATGCTGCATATTGCCAATTGCAGGCGCCGCTATGTACAGGATAAGTCCTCTGGACCGTCTCTGATAATTATCGGGGTGTGTTGCGATGAATCGTGCATGGTGTTCCTGATTAGGCCTTGCGTGGCTTCCCCTGCAATTGTCGGGTGCTAGGACATCCGCCAGTAAGTGTCCGTGTTTGGTATTACACCGCTGCCACATCGCGGCAATTTTCCGCGACGTAACGGCGGCTGAGTGTCCTTATTCATGTCAACGAGTCGACAAGAACTCGTGCAGCGCACTAGCTTCGCATCACCATAAACTAACGACGATAAGATCACGTTCGGGTGATTGCATTTCCCCCACTGAGGGCCAGTTGCCTGTATTTGTGCCCGACCATTCCTGGAACACCCAATGCCGCGTCCAGTGAACTGAAGGTGCACCAACTACTCACCCCGTGGGGAGCGCACCGGGAATGCTAGTCATATGAAAGCAATCGTGTGACCAGGGAACACCAAACATGTCGGTGGTTAGGAGTGCGCCAAACACCGGAGCCTGGGGGACGCCAGAGAGGAATATTTCAGCGAAGAAGGAACGATAGTTCAACGACGGCGCTGCCATTCGACTGTTTCAACAGCGCCGATGCCGTATAGCTCAGTTCCCAGGCCTCCGACAGGGCGTCGATGCAGGAGGAGAGCCAGTTGTTGCTGGCGCTACAGTCGAAGTTGCGTGCGGAGCGCACCGGCGAGTCGGACTCGGCGGCTACTGTGGCGCGCCTGCGCCAGGAGCTGGCGGCAGCCGAGCGGCAGCTGGCCGAGCGTGGTGCCCTCTGTGAACGGCTCGTCAGCCAGCAGCAGCTGGTGAGGGGCCGGCTGCGGCCGGCGCGGCGCCAGCGTCGCCAGCTGGAGGCTGTCTGCGGACGAATGGGCCGAGCCCTGTACGGCGAGGAGTACCGGCTGCCGGTGGACGTGCTGCAGGAGTCGTCCGACGAAGAGCCGGAGCAGGGCCCAGCGCCGGCGGCGGGCGCCGTTCAGCCGACCGCTGTCTGTCGTGAGGAGCGCGCAGAGACGACGGCCGCGCCGCCAGCTACGCCGCCGGTCACGGCTGGAATGACGACGGCCCAGCCGTCGGTCTCGACTCGGCCGACCACGCTGCCGGCGGCCGCTGCGAGGACGGAGCCTGCTGGCTGTGCAGCGGCAGATGGGAAGCGGCCGGAGTCGGCAGCTGCGCCGCTCGCCGCCGTCAAGTCGACGCCGCAGCCGACACCCGCGGCCAAACCGCCAGCCCAGCCGATGCCCGCGGTCAAGTCTGCGTCACACCCAGCGCACGTCATGCCGACGGTGCAGTCTGTGGTGGTGAAGCCGCCGGCGTCGCCGCGGCGGCCGGAGCGGCGGGCGCGGACGGCCGGCTGCGCCGCCGACGAGCCGGCGCCGCCGGCCGTCGCCGACGAGGCGGCCGAGGAGGTGTCGCGCCTCTGGGCGCGACGCAGCTCGGCCCGCTTCAGGGAGCCGCTGTCGGGCCGCGCGCCGGCCGAGTCGCCGCCGCCGCCGGCGCAGACGGTGCCGGCCGCCGACGTCAGCGCCGTGCGCTGGCCGGCCGTGCTCGGCCAGTTCAGCGCGCTGCTGCGCGAGACGCGCGCCGACAGCGTGACGCCACTGCCGGCCGTCCGCTACCGGCCCTACCAGTCGCCCCTGGAGGGATGGCAGCCGCTCGGGTGAGCCTGGCGGCGCTGCGCGCGCCCTTAGTGGTTATGACTCGCGGGCCAGCTTTGACGCGCACTGTTGCTTGTGAACCGCCTGGTTCTAAGGGAGAAGTGAAAATATTTGTTTTTGTAATGAACTGGATATACTGGAGTATCATTGTTCTAATTTTGTTGATGTTCTTTGCATCGGCAGTGCGTGATCTGTGTGTGTCTGCTCAAATGCCTGAGTTCTTCTGTCGGCATCGACGATAGGATTGAATCACCTTCAGCACGGATGGACAGTTCATATTGCCTTGACACACTTTGTTGGCACTTTGCGGGGTTTCGCTCACTAGCCGGGTTGTCGTGCCCTGACCGTGTCAATGGTGCGTTCATGGCTTGACGCGGCCGCTGGCACCGACCGGACGGGCGTCCGCTGTTGCTGGTCACGCCGTGTGGGACCTGTGCCGCCACCTCTCCGTCTCCCTGCTGACGCCGGCGGTCCCGTCTGTGCCCGGCCCTCAGGCAACTGAACCCGCACCAGGTGCTCTGCAAGTACGACCTGCTGGGCCGCTGCAACGCCCGCTCGTGCGCGTTCCAGCACGTGGGCGGCAAGCGGGCGGGCTCGCGGCCGCCGGCCGAGCCCCGCCACCACCACCAGCCGGCCGGGTACTCAGACAGCGCCGCGCCCGGCCCGGCCCGGCCCAGCCCGGCCGCAGCGGTCGCAACGGTCGCCACGGGGCCGGACGGGGCGGGGAGGCGGCCCTGGGCAGCGGGCGACATCTAGACACCATAGGGAGCGAACAGTCTTTGGTTCAGTGCTTAGGCTGTTCAGGAATTGCATAGTGGAGGTCGGTTGGTTAGAATCCTCAAAGTGGAAACGATAATTGTTTCGCGATGGGCGTTTCATGAGGGAGCTCCGCGACTATCTCGGTTAGTCACGGCCGTTCGGGGGAGGCACCTCCCGCCGACGACCCTCGCACTAATCAGCCGGGGCTCGGTAATCCCGGTCTGACCCGGCCCGTGCAGGGTCGTGTCGGCGGGGCTGCTGTGACGGCGCCGCCGCCGGCCGACCAGATCGCGCTCTGTGCTGTTGCAGCGGCTCGGCGCGCGCGCTCGGCCGTCCACCGAGCGTCGGCGGCTGCAGTCTGCCGCTCAGCGCCGGCCTAGACGGCCAGCGAGCGGCGCCCCCTCCGCCGGCCGGTCGCGGCGCGCCGCCCGCAGTTGGCCCATGGTGCCCGGGCCGTTGACTGGCCTCGTAGTCATGACGGAAAGCACGTTGGTGTTGCTACTCATTATTGGATACGCCAGGGATGCATGCCGTCAGTGTTGGGTGGACACATGCTGGGAACTACCGCAGCGGTTCACACGGCATTTTTCGAATAGCTGCGCCTTGAACTCTGCTCTTGCTCTGTCGACACGCTCTCATCTTCTGAATGAATCCGATCGAGTGGCTGAGCTCTAGAGATCTGTCGGGAGTGTGTCTGGAAGCCACAGTCTGCACAGCTGTGCGTGTCCTGCCGGGCACGGCCCCCCAACACGCCGCGCCACGCCGTCCCGGGCCCGGGCGCCGCGCGCCCGTCCACAGCCGATGACTGGGCGCGCCGTTTGCAGGTCGGAGCTGCCGCGCTGCGCGCGCCCGCCGCCCGAACGCAGGTAAGCCGGCGCTCGTCCCGCTAGCATAGTCGGCAGCTGTGTGTGTGACATGAGTGGCGTGAGTGCGTGCTGGGCGCGGCCTGAAGGCGGACGGATGTGGCGCGAGACTGCCAGTCGCCGTCGGTGTGCTCCCGTCGGCGCCAGACCGTCCGCAGCCTCCCCTGCCCGCCGCACTGGAGCCGCCCCTGCCCGCCGCGCTGGAGCCGCCCCTGCCTGCCTTCGGAGCGGTGCAACTGACTCGTGTCGGCCGGCACGTGTCAAGTGCGTCTCAGGGTGTTCTGCGCGGGTGCGTGCGTCGAGACACCGCGCGGGACGACTATCTCGCGTATAGGATGTACAAATGGGTGCTCTCCGTGTCAGCGGCGACTGGGACGGCCAGTTTCGGGACAGAAGAGGATTCAAGAAGCATCGCTCAACCAACGGGGATGAGTGCCTGTTGCAGTTGCTCATATGTGTTCAGCATGTAACGTTACTGGTACCGTGAGCTTAATATCTGAGCTTTTCAGATAGAGAAATATACCGATGTTATTTCTTTGTTTTCTAAACTCTCGCGCTAGTTGGCAAGGATCGATCTCGCCGTCATGTGAATCGCAGGAGTGGATGTGTGCAATATGGATGCGGACTCCGTGTTCCAAGCACGGAGACTGATGGAATTTGTCGTCGCCGCACTGATAACAAAATTGTGGGGAAATTTTGTGGAGCGCGCTGATAAATTCGTGCGTTGATTTCCGCCATGTGGGCCTCGTCCACATCAGACGACGCGCTCACGGCGGCCCCGATGAATCGAAGACCCCTGGGCTCGGTTGTCACCGATTGGTCAAAGATCCGAGGCTGTTTCAGTCCGCGGTGATGCTTGCGGTGTTTGATGGGCTGTGACCAGAGGCCTTCCCCCAGCGCGTCTCACCTGTCGTGTGGACGCTGTACAAATACGTCCGCGTACCGTGTCGCCTAGCTGTGCGCTGTTGCCTGCTGGTGGCCGCGGTCGCCGCTGTAAGTCAGCAGCCGTGTGGTCCGGCATGGCCGTGACCAGGAGATCGGAACAAAACATGGGAATACACCAGATGGCGATCTCGAACGTGTTTGACCACTGACGTGGAGGTGAGCGACGAATGCGGAGAAAATGCCTGGCGGGTATGAACGGCACTGTGGACGGCGTCTGAGGGGGTATGTTGAAGCGCTGCTGGCGGGTGCCGAGATGAGCTCAATCGCCCATGGAACCGGTGCGTGACAATGCAAGAGGGCCAGGAGCGTGTTTTCAGGATCAGCTGACGTCGGAGGTGACGTCTCGCCGGAAACAGCCGGCGCTCTCCAAACCGGCCCAGTGGACTCGCACAGACTCCCGACGGGCAACACGGGGGAGAGACTAAATACGGCCCGCGTGGTGTCGGCGACTCTCTGGGTAGAGACTCACCCCCAAATCACTGAGCTATGGGGGATACGTGACGTATTGCCACTCGCTTTCCCTTGGCTTTCCCAGAGCCCGGCAAGCCCGTAGCCATCTTGGGAGCCCTGATCACCGGAGGTGGCAATGCGAGTTAGGTGGCGTAGGTATTATCTGATTCAGGGCCCATGATTCATCTGTACGTGTCCCGCAACCTGCCAAGGGCACCGAAACACTAGCAACGGATCGTTTGGGGAGGGGGTCCGCGTCAACTGGGTGTCATCCACACCGCACCCCGTGAGACGACCCGCTAGCGTTTGATCAGATCAGATAGCTGGTTCGAGTCAGATCGCTGATTCCAGCCAGATAGCACCCACGACAGCGGGGTCGTTTGAGAATCCTAGGGATTTAAAAGGTGAAGGCGTCCCTAATACTGCTACGGAGCGATTAAGCCTCGCCGTCGCTTACCGCGACCTGCTTTGTGAGTGTGTTTACAAAAGGGGCTGTTGTCCCGAGTCATCCGTGTTCATCTGGACTGCGCACTGTATGACCCGCACTGTATACATCAAAGCCTGGGAGTGTGCTGCTGGTCGCAGCCGAACCTTATCGACTTTAGGCTGGCATTGGGACGAGGTCGGCTCTCACCAGTATATTGAAGGCGTGGGGCGCAGAGGTTCACCCGGTGCTCGGACGTCCATACTGGTTTCCTGGGAACTGAAACCTATTTTTAGCTTTAAATTGTCTGAAACAACAAGGTCAGCAAGCCACATAGTAACCCAGTGATAGTCAAACCGATGTGGGTAGACTAATGTCAGTACCAAATCTTCAACAATCACCGAGAAAAAAGCATGGAATTTCCAATGACGTCATCTCAAGGTTGCACGGAAGTAAACAAATTATTTCACAATCACACTGGACAACTTCGATATGATAGTACTTGATCAGTCGGAACCCGTGTTGGCCGTCGACGTTTGGTGGTGGCCGTGCTGGGCGTTTTTCATTCGATTAATCAGGAACCGCAGTGGTTTTATAATTTGTGAGTAACTCAGTTCAATTTCTCAGCATTGAATGCTTGGATTTTTAGTGATCACTGGAGATTTTGTCTCAGATCTGCCCTGACATTGGGAAGTTCATTTACAATCTGTGGTCTGAATGGGGGCATAGTTTTATATGCTTACAAATGCGAGAATTGGTAAGTAGTCTCAGAATATGTGCAGTCTGATAGGTGTATTGTGTGGAGTAGCCTCAAGAGCAGACTATTGTAGAGATGGAAATATAGAAGAACATCCTAGGCTGCTACAATCAATTTATGGTGTGTCCTTTAACATAAAATATTTTTTTTGAAGAGGTTGGAATTTAATGAGCTGGTTCTTGTTTGTAAAAATTAGTTGTAAATTACATTGCCCAGAAACTGAGCTATTACATGACGTGCCAACTGCAATGCCCATGTGCATATTTCTGAGAAATTTAACATGAAGCAAGTAATGCCTACCACCTTTGCAAAAGGGGACAGGTGTTGTGTCAGTTTGTATTTCAGGACTGCGTATGGCTGGGAGAGACAGGCACCTCGTGCATGGCATTAATGCTGGCTGGTTCACATTTGTACTAGTAAAAATAACAGTAACTATATATATATATATATATATATATATATATATTTATATGTATATGCTTCCAATATCCTATGCTGTGTAACTATGATAATTTTTAACTGCAACTTTGGTCATCTTGCATGATAACTTTTAATTCTTTGCCCATTTAAGTTTCATGATAACCCTCAACTGTCCATAATATCTATGATAACTTTTGATTAAAATTGGGTCAGTTTGTAAATATAGGGCATTGCTTTGCTTCAAGCTAAAGCTGTTTGAAATGCTAAAGAATGATGGCTTGCTTTTGGTATGACCATACACTGTAAATATCTTAATACCATTGCTTATCACACTTGTTAATCTGAAAGTAAATAGCTGGAACACAGTGTCAATAACCCTGAAAACATTTTTTTAAAATCATTTTCTTGAATGGATCAAAGTAAAAGATTGATAGCACATGCAAAGGTTCTTTCTTAAACAAATATATAAATGGTGATGAATTGTGGAATGAGTTGTAACTTAGATAAACCACACTGATGTCCATTTCTTCTGATTTGCTGCTCTGGGGCCCTGAAAGGGTTATTATCCGAAGCTTTGAATGCTCAGCTTTCTTACCTTAACATTTCTATGATATAATTGATATAAGTATGCATAGTTTATTTATATTCACTTGCAGGTGTGGATATTGTGATCCAGATCATGTGGTCCAGATTGTGTAATCTGGGCTTTGTGGTTCATGTCTGCTCCCAATCACACATGTGGATATTCCTGTTGGATCCAAGATACATTTCAGAGACATGTTCTTTTATGTTTATCCATCTTACTACATGTTCCATGCTGCCAATCTTTGCTAGAGACCCAACATAGATAGACAGGACCTGTGCTTGAAACCTAGCATGATGTATCCATTTACACCATGACATGAGACAAGTTTTCAACTGTCGTTAAACTTGTCTTTTATATCAGCCAAAATTATATTGACTCTGGAAGCAGGACAGTGAAACTTGTGCTGCATTGGCTTCCTTCCTTGCATCAGGGTCATATCCAGAGGAACAGTATGCTTGTCCTGCCCCCCCCCCCCCTCCATCAAATGTTTGCATGGATGAGTATGCATAGACAAAATATCAACAGTTAGAAAGTCAGAGTAGACATACAAAAAATGTATGCTGAAAATATGTGATGCTATTATATGCAGCTCATTAAATGCTTTGCACTTGCAGCAGGCTACAAGTTGTTTTTCAGCACAAATTTTGAGTTGTGCCCCCCTTTTCCTCAGTGTAAAATCATACATATGTCCTTGCTGGGTATTTTCCACTTTTCTTGTCTCAATGAAGTCTGGAAGTGGCTACTGAACTTTGAAGTACTGTCAATGTAGTGCACTGTGAAGGCATCACATTTGTGAGAACCAACGCCTGTTGGTCAGTTGGCTTCCCATGCACCTGTTAGTAAACCCACCAAAAAGGCAGTGGGGCTCTAGAGCCTGAGGCCGATCCACAGGGTCACCTAGCACTCAAGTCAGGTGACACTGATCTCTGACTGGCAGGACGAGGCATGCACCTTGACCTGGTGCCATCGCCGGCGGCGCTGAGCCCGGCCGCCGGCATGGAGGAGGCCGAGGTGGTCAACGAGGGCTGGCTCATCAAGTCACCACCGCAGAAACGTTTCCCCAGAGCGGTCAGTGCTGTTGAGAAGTCCCAGTGGAGGTCCTTGGTTTTCTGTGAAGCATGGTGCCTTTTATGTGACAGGCTGTTACTTTGCATTTTTCTCGAAGTTTGGCCTCCTGGTGGTGTTAACCAAGTTTTTCCTACAGGACAGAACCTGCTCTTTTCAGTTTAAGGATTGCAAATGCTTGCAACACTTGCAAGTCCTTGGTTGCAAGTGTTCTAAAACAACAGGTCCTTGTCGCTATTGGTCACAAGATACATGCTAATATGTCCAGATCGTGGTGTTGGTAAGACAGTTTGTGTCAGAGTCCTGCTAGCAAAGGGCTTTAGGATCCAGCTATTGTAATTTCTGCACAGCCAGCTTCAACATGTAGCCTGGTTATATGAGTCAAGTGCTGGTCAAGTAAGTCTCCAAGTGTTGGGCGAAGGAAAAATTGCCGCGTACACCAGTGCATTCCCACAGTTGCACCAGGGTAGCCCTGTGACTTAGAATGATGCATCACTGATGACAGGAAGAAAAGTTTATCGAGGCAGAGTTAAACTTGTCATTTGTTTTCATAGATGAGACAGTAGTGATAGCCTTATTCGTTAGAAAGAAACCAGGAGAATGGAGATATTTGTTATATTTGTATAGTCTTATTCCTTGGTAAGAAACCAGGAGAATGGAGATGTTTGTCATATTTTTATCATTATTGTTCTGTAAGGAATAAGGTTATTGCTACTGTCTTACCTATGTAAATGATGTTCCTCACGAATGTGCTTAACAACTTACATAATTGTCATTTGTTTTGCAAATGCATTTACGTCAGCCGTTGGATTATACCATGTCATTCATGAAAGCAGCATTTCGGAGCTTCGTTTGATGAGACGTAGCCCGTTCTTGCAGCGAATGTTACCTGCGGGCAGCATTATAACGTTTTAAGAATTTGCTCTGATAGGAAATCCCCATTCACCAAAGGTTTCCAAGCTCCAAAAGGACAAAGGGCTGCACGTGCGGCCCGATGCTTGGCATACAGCCAATAGCCGGCTGGTTTTCCCTGTCGCAATTTTCTAGGCAGATAACAGCCTCTCTGACCAAAAGTAAACTGAAGTTTTAGTATATAAAGACAGTATATGGGAATAAACTTCGTATAAAAACCGCAGTCCACAATGCATGCATGTAAGAAGTGTAAACGTGGGCGACGATCGATTCGCTCTTCTAAGTAGGCAAATATTGAAAGTATCTACTGTGATGAATAGTACTGATGTCTTCTTCTGTTCGAAGTACTGAGATCAAATTATATGAGGTCTGTTCTGGTCCCGTCTCCTCACCGTCATCGCAAAGGTAGTGCTGGCACGGTGCCATCATCACGAAGCTGGCGTTGCACGCGACGGCAGCATGCTCCGTTCCGCGCCACGAATTCAGCCCTCTTTGGCCTGTGTTGGGTGGCATGGCTGTTGAATAGTATGCATAGTTACACGTGTGCAAGCTTTGTCTGCCGATCCTCCCTCTTGGAAAACATGTTGTGGGCTTTTGTCTTTGGAGGAGGTCCATCCTATCTACAGAAGGGGCAAAGAGCACCTACCATTGACGTGGGTTTAGGCTTGACGGCGTGCTAAAGATCCCGAGGCGCCACCCGGCTTAGCACGCATGGTAAGATAACTCCTTTTCTCGGAAGTCCTTGAGCGGCGGTGTCGTGGGTAAAAAAGCGCGCGCTGCCCGGCTCGGACCCTGCTCCCAGCCCGTACGTCTCAAACACGGCGAGTACGCTGCGAATGAAGCCATTCGGAGCATATGTACCGGCTATTTCATGTTTAAATCGGCAGGTGCCTTGGGAAAGCCTCAGCCGGCGTCAGTAGCTCCGGCGTGCGGTTAACAGCTGAGGGCATAGGGCTGAGGGCTGAGGGCTGGTCAGCCGTCCGGTCTGTCATCAGCACTTGTCACGTCATGACGTCCCCCCCCCCCCCCGCCCGTCTGATGACATTGGGCGCGTCCATCAATAATCTTCCCGAGCCGGTAGCGTGCCGATCAGAGCCCCAGGAATGCTCTGGTGGGGTGGCGTGCCCGGCCTGCCGCGGCCACCGGTCTGCGGGGCGGCGCGGTGCCGGCCCCGCCCACCTGAGGCCGCGCCGGCTGACACCGGTCGCTGCCGCTGGATGCGAGGCGCCTCCGGTGGCGCGCGGCACCGGCCGGCCCGCGTCGGCGAACGGGCCGGGCGGGCACGTGCTGCGGCGGCGAGCGGCCCTCCGCCGCTGCCCCCCTGAACCTTGTCTGGGGCCTGACGCCAGGGTGAGCGGGAGCGTGGCGCTGGCGCTGGCTCTGGCACCCGTCAGCCGCGCCGTGACCGGCCGAGCTGCCCCGGCCGGGGGGCGCCCTGCGTGGTCCGCTCCGCTCGCTCCCTGGCGCCTGCTGTACACCGACGACTGTTTGATCTTCGATTCGCGCTATCGCTGTTTTCTGCTGTGGCTAGCCAGCCTTGGGCTAACGTCACTCACGTCGGAGATTCTTCTTAATCACGTGGTCAGGTCACTGTTACTTGGATTTGTTTATACGTTGTTGGTGGCTTGTAGAAGAGCTCTGATCCTTCCAGTGGACGGCCAAACTTCACCAATGCATCTATTCCGACAGCTGTACTTTTGAACGCTCCAGGAGCACCCTCCAAGAAAATCGCTGGAAGGGCGGGGTGTCGCATCACGGCTAGACCGTTTACTCGGCCTTTTTGGAGCACATCTGGCATCGATTCATCTCGATCAAACGTTGTGTGCAGTACGTCCGTCAAACAGAGTCCTCTGGTGACGAGATCAGAAGCGCGTGTGGATTTTCTGACCGGTGATCCGCTTGAACAGCTTCACTGAAGTGATGCGCTCCTCCAGGCGGTGGGCTCGCTGTGGGTTGTGAAGCCCGGTGCCTTGGAGACTGGTTCGCAGTCCGTCTGAGCGGATGCTCGAGGTTGCATACCATCGGGCGCGCCGTGTGAAAAGCGCAGACGACCCGGACCAGTGCCTGGCCTGTTTTGTCGGGCGTGCTGCTCCTGTGCGGCGGCTGCCTGCATGACGACCTAGCAGTGCATTACCCTGCGAAGAGAATGTGGACATCGAAATCAGCCCATGCACAGCCGATAATAACGGAAAACGTCACGAAATCATGTCGTTAATCTCAGTCGGACCACAGTCGTCTCCGAGCTAAGAAATGTCAGCGTCTCCCATCCGGCATTGGTTTGCGTTTTGAGATGCATTCCGTACCACGTGTCTAGATTGCAGCTGTATATGAACGCCAGTATGGGTAGAAGCCTCCCCAGGTGCGGGGGTTCGAGTACGCAGGTACGTATATCTGTAATACGCATGCACGCATGACGTTACGACTATTTGCGACCACGAAAATTTCACATGTATGCCGATGAAACTCACTGTTGCATCGAGGTTGAGCTGGCCGTTTGCTGCTGCCCACGTGTTCTAACAGTCGTCCATTCAGACCTTGATTGACGTCAATCGATTAGAATTTCTAAACAGCGCGGTAAAACATCGCCGTGTTGTCAAAAACCAAGATGGCAAGGTGTGAAAGTTAGCATGACTAATCGGTGATGTGTATGCAATAGCTACTTCGTGTTGGTTTAGTTGCGAATGGGTAGTCGTCATCGTTGACGTCGAACCGGAAGACAATTCCTCCCATGTGATAGTGCAACTCCTTCGGCACTAATGAGTTCTGATACGTCCCCACAAACACGTCCATCAATACTTTACTGACTAGTTCCTTTCGCGGAAATTCGGTTTTCATTTCGTCCACCGAGTCAATGTGCGAAGCGTGTTGGCCGGTACCCGACCTCCCAGACTCGAATGGCACTTGAAAGATAGCTCACGAGACGGGAAATTTCCCGTCTCGTGATCGCCAATACCAGTCTGGGGAACCCCGAGCAACACACTCGGCTCCATGGCCGCTGCCCTCTCTCCCCTCTCCACGCTCCCCCTCCTTGCACGTTACGTTACCGTACGTGAATAATCCTAGAGGTTGCTGCACCAGCGTCAAGCGCCCAACCCTGGATGGCAGGGGCCAGGGGGAAGGGGAGGGGGCTGCCGGAGCAGGGCGTGGCCGCTGCCGCCGCTAACCCTGCTGGCGTGTCCGGCCAGTGGCCGGCCGGCGCTGGCCGCAGCGGGACAGCCGCGCCGCGACGGCAAGAGCGGCGGCGGCCGTCCGGCGGCGCCGATCGCCGCCACTAGCACCGATCACCGCCGCTCGGTCGATCGTGACTCACCGCACCGCGTCGCCTGGTCAGACACGCGCCCGCCGCGGTCACGGCGGCGCCGGGCCGACCGCGCGTGGGGCGCGCGGCCGCGCCGAGCCGCTTCGATCGGCTCTGGGTCGCGGCCGCCGGCGGCGCGCCGATGGGTGGCCGGCCGGTGAGATCGTGTTTCGAGAGAAAGCTGAGCGGTGATCGGTATGAATTTTAAGTGGCCGCGACGGCCGCGCGCGCGCCGGCGCCGCGCCGTCGAGAACGTTCGCGGGAGATGGATAGGCTCTGTAGGGCACGCGGACGCTGCGGCGTCAGTGTGGAGCGGAGCCTGGCCGGAGGGCGTCTCCCACGGGGCGCAGGGCGGCAGGCGCCGGCAGCGTACTGCCGCCGGCCGATCACCGCATCCACGTCCGACCGCCTCGATCGGCTCTGATTCAGTGCCGGCGCCGCCTATTCCTGGTGGTGTTGTAAGCGGCGGGCGTCGCCGCGGCCGGCTGGCGCCGCAGGTCAACAGCCGCCGCCGCCGCCGGGGCGCGCCGCGACCGTGCACGGCCCGCCTGCCGATGGGAATGTGGACCGCGCGTCGCGGCGCCGTCGCCCCCGGGCTCCGACTCTGCCGGCGCCGCGGCTCGGCCGACCGGCCACGGAGGGCGGGCCCGTCGGTCGGCCGGCCGACAGGCGTGTCGCGCCAACGGGCTGAACGGGTCGGGCTTGTCATTGGTCGAGGTGGGATGTCAAGTTATCAGACGACCGATGGGCGAGCAGGGGGTTTACGTCGGAGGCTCGGCGATGTGATGTTTTAGCTCGTGTTCATGTGAGCACGTGTTAGGCTATTGTTTGCCTAATCCCTGCCTCCAGTGATGCCATTGCAGTACAACAGGGGTTTCGGAAATTATATTTATAATGCGTGCCACAATATTGGTAATGTCATGATGTCACAATATTATAAACACCGCGGTTAATATCGTGAGGATATTGTTATCTTCTGGTCATTTCCGGCCGCAGCTGCAGCGCACCGTATTTGCCGTTAATGCCCGATGCGTTATGCCATCGTGATGCGGGAAAACCGGAACGCGGTTTGCAGTGTGTCCCGGTAGGTCTCTGCCGTCTTCCCGGGTCCTGACCTGATGCCTGTCGCCCGTCGCGGGACCGTCCCAAGGTCCGTCCCGCCGCTGGGCCTCCCGACCGTGTGACGCAGGCCGCCGCCGCGTCTCCGGCCGCCGCATGACTCCGACGCGGACCCCGTTGCAGAAGTGGCGGCGGCGCTACTTCCTGCTGCGCCGTTCCGGCGCGCTGCCCGCGCAGTACGTGCTCGAATACTTCAGCGACGAGAGCAAGCGCAAGCTCAAGGGCAAGATCGAGCTGGACCAGTGCGAGCAGGTGAGTGACGCTCCGGCGGCGGCGGCCGCCGCTCCCAGCCGCGGCAGCGCGCCGTCCGTGACGCGCCCGGCGCGCTCCCAGCTGCGGCAGTGTGCCATCGGTGACGCGCCCGGCTGCTCCCAGCTGCGGCAGCGCGCGGTCCGTGACGCGCCCGGCGCGCTCCCATGCTGCCGGGTGCCGTTTTTCCTCCGTGCGCGCCGGCGAGATTTGGCGGCGGCCGGCCCGGCCGGCGCGATGATTGGCGACGGGCGGTCGGGCCAGCGGGGCGGGGCTGCGGTCGCCGAGGCACGCGGCTGACGGCGGCGCCGCCGCTGGGGAGCGGAGCCCGCCCGGCGGCGGCGGCCGGCGCGGACGGTAAGGGTCCGCACGCACCCGGATACCCGGATAACGATGCAGGGCATGGACGGCGCACCGGTGGACGGGATTTAAACGTATGCTCACGAGACGGCGCGCCGTGCCTTGGTTTGGGTGCACAGACAGCTTGTTTTCGGAACACCAGCCTGGTGAGTGGCTGCAATGCAGTTGCTGGACAATTTAGTAGTAGTAGTTGGGTTTTAAGGGCGTCTTCACCGCAGTGGATGTTGGCGCCCATTACCGTACGATCGTTGAGGTTTTGTACAGCTGAATGCATTTGCAATCGCGTAGATCTCGAGCTTCAGAATCTGTTCATGGCGAACCGGTCATATCTGCTCATGGAATGTGGTCAGTACCTTTTGTTGCATCTGGACATTGAATAGCGCTGTTTGCACAGACCGCGCTGTCTCAAACCGAGGGCGGCAGCCGCCAGCTGAACAGCACAGCCGTGACTGACCACAGGCAAAACGCGGCTGCGTGAGAGTGACTCGTACCTTGGCATGCGAGTCTCTGGTGGAATGACATACTCATCCTGTCTGCGGCGCAGCTCGCCAGCCTGGTGTCGGATATCCGCGCGTCTTTTGGCCTGGCAAATACGCCCGACCGGTGGCCTGATCCAGACTCCTGGTCCAGGACACCCCGATCTGACTGAGAATCCTGACCTGGCTGATCCCCGGACCTGACTGAGACACTTGACCTGGGGGAAACTTCTGACCTGGCTGAGACTCCTGACCTGACTGAGTCTCAGGACCTGGCTGAGCTTCCTGATCCGGCTTAGTCCCTGACCTGGCTGACGCCCATCCCGTCTGAACCGGCCGAGCTGACCAGCGCTGTGGACCTGCTGGCAGACACCCCGCCCCCGGCACCGCTGACACCCGGGTCCTCGTCGGCAGGTGGACGCCGGCCTGACGCTGGACTCGCGCAAGCACCAGTACGACTTCATGTTCGACATCCGCACGCCCAAGCGCACCTTCTACCTGGCGGCCGAGTCAAAGGCGCTGATGGAGCGCTGGGTGGACTGCATCTGCCGCGTCTGCGGCCTCAAGGTCTATCCGCGCGACGGCAATGACGACGGTGAGCGTGCGGTGGCGGGCAGGACGGCGCGCGACGGATGGGGACCTCGTTTGTCACGCCCGCTGGGTGGCCCGCGTGCTGGCCGGGCTTTGGGACGGTCGATCCCTTCCTCGCGAGGCGACGTCTGGATCACTGAGGTGGTAGCATCGTTGTATTTGAGCCTAGTATTCATTGTCGCCGCGGGCTCATACTCGAGTGATGGGCACTTAGGACAGGCAGTGACAGAGGGGGACAGAGGAAGCTGTAACGTTGTCTGGTGGTGGCGTTGTACAGAGGGGGACAGAGGAAGCTGTATCGTTATCTGGTGGTGGCGGTGTTCGCCAGCAGCGTTTATCGTCCGGTGGCGTGTTCAGGCGCTTCCCGGGGCGATACCAGCCAGGCACGGGCCACCAGCAGTGTTTATCGTCCGGTGGCGGTGTTCAGGTGCTTCCCGGGGCGATACCAGCCAGGCACGGGCCACCAGCAGTGTTTATCGTCCGGTGGCGGTGTTCAGGCGCTTCCCGGGGCGATACCAGCCAGGCACGGGCCACCAGCAGTGTTTATCGTCCGGTGGCGGTGTTCAGGCGCTTCCCGGGGCGATACCAGCCAGGCACGGGCCACCAGCAGTGTTTATCGTCCGGTGGCGGTGTTCAGGTGCTTCCCGGGGCGATACCAGCCAGGCACGGGCCGCCAGCAGTGTTTATCGTCCGGTGGCGGTGTTCAGGCGCCACAGGACGATAAACACTGGGGTTTAACAAAACACAGGTCCGGGGCGATACCATCCGGGGCACGGGCCAGGCAAACACCCGGGACTTATGTACCTTCAGCAGCTAAATTGCGGGTGACATCAATTTCTGCTGTTTCCTGACTGCTTATGCATCCGTTTTCGCAAGATCGCCTTCCGTTTCGAGCTTTGGTCGGGACGTTTGTGTGTTCTATTTGTACTAAAATTTACCAACGTTAGATGTCAGTAGGTGCTGGCTGAAGGACGCTAAACAATTAGCTATATTTTAAATTCTTCGACGTGTCCATGGTGACTAACTCCGCTGGAATTGCCGATTCCGCTCAAAATAGATTTCAGTTAATTCCGGACGTCTGCTTTTACCAATACTCCTTCGTACGTTTAAGGTCGGTTATTTTCACCATAGCAGCTCGGTGCCCTGAAGACCATTCAGGCTTGTATAATGCAGGTTCGGCCAGCTTGGCTGAGCCCTCTTCAATACGCGTTTGGTGCACAGGTCGTGGCCACATTAGAGGGTTGTAGTGTGGAGCGGGTGTGGCCACACAGCCTTCTGACACGGACCAAGCCCAGCCCACGGCCCTATCCGCATTGCACGCAGACATGTTGTTTGCTTACGTGCTGCCATCTTGCGTCAGCCGGTGCCGGAAGCCCATGGCAGTGGCAGTGCCTTCCTCGTACAGTTATGGTGGATGTCGACGAAAATTGGCTGGTGGGATTTGAGAAAATTAAGCCCAGGTTCGACTTTATGTAGCTCAATCCGAGTGCGAGTGCGTACCAAATGTGAACAGTCAGTTGTGATTCACTCTGGCATTTGATATGGTTCATGTATCATGCTGCCTTCAAGGAATGTCAGTGCTGCGTAATCTATTGACCGAAACAGCTTCGGGTGTACAATCACCCAACAGGTAACTTACTCGTTATCAGCATTGAGATCTGCATTGAACGGGGACGCGCGTACAAGGAAAGACGTCCATGGAAACGTGTCTGGTTGAAGATTCGAAAGATAGCTACACCATTTGATGGGAGATCTCACCTATCTTTGCGAGGTTAATGCAATGCCAGTGCCAGCCCAATTCTGCCTGCCGCAGTTCTTCTGAGGCAAGGGGCACCCGTCCGTGTCCGTGTCTGGCACCCGTCCGTGTCCGTGCCTGGCACCCGTCCGTGTCCGTGCCTGGCACCCGTCCGTGTCCGTGCCTGACATCCGTCCGTGTCCGTGCCTGGCATCCGTCCGTGTCCGTGTCCGTGTCTGCCACCCGCCCGTGTCCGTGCCTGGCACCCGTCCGTGTCCGTGTCTGGCACCCGTCCGTGTCCGTGCCTGGCACCCGTCCGTGTCCGTGCCTGGCGCCCGTCCGTGTCCGTGCCTGGCACCCGTCCGTGTCCGTGCCTGACATCCGTCCGTGTCCGTGCCTGGCACCCGTCCGTGTCCGTGTCTGGCACCCGTCCGTATCCCTACCTGGCACCCGTCCGTGTCCGTGTCTGGCACCCGCCCGTGTCTGTGTCTGGCACCCGTCTGTGTCCGTGCCTGGCGCCCGTCCGTGTCCGTGTCTGGCACCCGTCCGTGTCCGTATCTGACACCCGTCCGTGTCCGTGTCCGTGTCTGCCACCCGCCCGTGTCCGTGCCTGGCACCCGTCCGTGTCCGTGTCTGGCACCCGTCCGTGTCCGTGCCTGGCACCCGTCCGTGTCCGTGCCTGACATCCGTCCGTGTCCGTGCCTGGCACCCGTCCGTGTCCGTGTCTGGCACCCGTCCGTATCCCTACCTGGCACCCGTCCGTGTCCGTGTCTGGCACCCGCCCGTGTCTGTGTCTGGCACCCGTCTGTGTCCGTGCCTGGCGCCCGTCCGTGTCCGTGTCTGGCACCCGTTCGCACCGCGGCGATTCACATCGCCCAGTGTCGCCGCCGTTACCTCTTATCAGTAGGCTCCACGCCGTTGTTTGGGTGCAATCTCCCGCCCCCGTGCCTCTCAGCCGGCGGACCGTCTTTGTCGCCGGAGTGCGATGTTTGTGATCTCTCGCCTTCCCTCGTCATTAGCCTCGGCGCTGTCGTCTGTTTCCCCCGCGCCCCTCAGGTGACGTTCTCCTCCTCCGTGTGCAGGCTCGACACTGTCGTATGTTTCCCCCGCGCCCCTCAGGTGACGTTCTCCTCCTCCGTGTGCAGGCTCGACACTGTCGTATGTTTCCCCCGCGCCACTCAGGTGACGGTCTCCTCCTCCGTGTGCAGGTTCGGCGCCGCCGCCGGCGCCCGACTCGAGCCCGCTGCCGCGCGCCGCCGCCGCCGGCTGCGTGGCGGACGACTCGGACTCGCCGCCCGTCTCGCCGTCGTCGCCGAGCAGCGTGTCGGGCCCGTACATCCCGATCAGTGAGTGCCTGAGCGGGCCGCCGCTGGGCCCGCCGGAGCCGTCGCCGGGCGCCGGGCCGGCGCCGGCCAAGGCGGCCGTGTCGACACGCCCGTTCTCGGGCCGCCGCCGGCCCGTCACGCGTCGCGGCACCGACGTCTCCGACCTGGCGTACGACGCTCTGCGGCCGGCCGCCGGCGCCGAGCCGCCCGCCGCTGCCGCCGCTGCTGCCGCTGCCGCCGCCGCCACTGCTGCTGCTGCCGCCGCTGCTGCTGCTGCCGTCTCGCCGCCACCACAGGTCAGGGCGCTCGCCGCCGCTGTGGGAGGGGCGCCCGTGACGGAAGTGGTGCATGGCGGGCGATGAAATCATGCCGTTAAGGTGGAGTGTCCGCATGGATGCTGTGAACTTGGCGCAACGTATGTGTCCATCAGCTCTAGAACTTGCATTCCTCTACTCTGACGTACCAGATGTAGTGGCGCAGGGAGTAAGCATCGAGGTGCAAAACTGAGAGATAACGAGTCAGACGTGTGACTGATGCCACTATGGTGCCAAGCGCCCGATTACGTTGGCTGCAGCCCACCGGCTGTCAGGCCCGTCGCTTTACGATGCGTTCAGCTCGGTGCTGGATAACCCTGTCTGGACGCGCGCTCACCGCTGGCGCCGGCGGGCAGGTCAACTGGGAGACGTACCCTGGCCAGTCTCAGCACACGCGGAGCAACAGCATGCCGGAGACGGTCAAGGGCGGCGTCAACAAGGCTGAGCAGCTCAAGCAGGGACCGCCGCGGCCGCCCAAGCCGCCCCATCTACAGGTGAGGGGCGCACTCTGCACGGGCCCCGCCCCTCCCCTCCACCACTCCCTACTGCTGGGGGCGGGTGCACAGTGTCCCAGAAGCGTCAGACGCTCTCCGGCTGTCCGGGGCGGAGCGGGACGCGTCTGGAGGGCTGTCTTGTGGGTCGGCGTGGCTCGCCGCCGCGCCAGCGGGCTGTCGTCGGTACCCCGCCACGACAGCCGTGCGCTCCGGTCAGTCCAGCCGTGCCGCGCGCCCGTGTCTTGGTGACGGGCCGGTGTGATACGCCCGTCGCCTGCGAGGCACCGCGCGCCCTCGGCGGCCCGGTCACGCCACTGTCTCTGCCAGCCCGCGTGATTGTCCACTTGACCTGACGGTCAGCGCCGTGAGCGCTGGAAGCAGCGCCGCCCCAGCGCTCGGGCCGGACACGTTCGTTCTCGCGGTCACGCCGGCAGAAGTGCCCGGACGTCATGGCGGGGCCGGCTTCTCTGATCTGAATATTGAAACAGCGTGACCGTAGTGCTGTCTGACCGAGATGGCCTGACCTGCCCGGTTCGGGATGGCTGCTTCTCTCGCCCGCTCCCACGGTAGGCGGCGAGCAGCTCGCTCAGGTCCGCCATCACTAGACTGGTAACGCCGATGATCGTAGCCCAGCGGCATGCACCAAAAAGCTGCCCCAGGGCAGCAAGGCACTTCGCCGGTCGCTGACGCCCAGCACGGTCTCGCCGCACCAGGGCCAGGAGGCGGCCTCCACGCACAACTACCAGAACTTCGAGGAGCTGCGCTCGCCGCGCCTCTCGGACACCGAGTCGGCCACGCCGCGCACGCCCACCACCGTGCCGGCCGACGACATGTACGACTTCCCGCGGCCGCTGGACCGCACCAGCGGCCGGCGCCGCAACTGCTACGCCGGCGCTGCGCCCGGCCAGATATTTAACTACGACTTCTCGGAGCGGCCGCCGCCGGCACCCGTCGTCAACCGGACGCTCAAGCCGCGAAAGGTAAGACGACGGCGCGGTTGGCCGGCGCGCCGCGAGCGCGCACAGCGGACGGTCGCGCCGGAGGCTTGCTGTGCCGGCTGACGACGGAGGGTCGATGCTGTTCTGCGTCAGTCGCGATTGCTCGGACTGTACGCAAGAAACAAATTCCTGAGACATGTCATTTCTTTTTTCGGTGGCGGTGGGGGTATAGACATGGCAGTCGAAAATTGCATGAGTTACAGTGGAGTCAGTTTGTTTCTGCCCTCTTAGCAATGACAGAATGACCAGAAATGCTTTGACGTGCGCCGCCGCTGTCGTAGCCAGTCCGCGTGAGTGTGCTGCCGCCGTTCTGACCGAGCGTTCCCGTCCCCGAGCGGTGACCGTGACCCGTGCGCGGCCGGCAGACGAGCGAGCCGGCGTCGGCTGGCAGCGAGCCGGCGCCGTCCGTGTCGGCCGCCTCCTCCTGCACCACCCCCGGGCAGCACGCCCGGCTCGGCGCCGCCCGCCGTCGACCGCGCCCTGAAGCCGGCGCGCGCCGCCTCCGCCCACGGCCAGGGTACGTGCAGCCGGGGAGCCGCGGCGGCCGGGCCGTCCGGTCTGGCACGGCAATGGCCGGAAGACGGCGTGCGCTGCTGCGGTGTGGGCGGGGCCGGTGGGGTGGGCCACACCTCCGCCTCTGTCGCCGGAGGGTGGACCTGCCGGGGATGGCACGCTGCTGTCGCCGGTGTCGGGCATGGGCATGCCGTCCGTGCCGCTGCCGCTCCAGCCAGCTCACCAGAGGCCGGTGTGGCAGGCGCGGAGGTGCTGTGTCGTCTGCAGCCGGGTGGCCGGGAGGCGTCTGACCCGGCGCCGGCCGCCGTTTCAGTGCTGACGCTGGCGCCGCCGCCGGTCCGCCACGGCGCGGTGGTACGCCACCAGAGGGCGGCGCCGTCGCCCACGCCGTCCCGCGCCGCCGACGAGAAGGCGCCGCCCGCCTCGCCCGCCGCCGTTCCCCAGCACAGCCAGCAGCAGGTACGGCGACTGGTTCAGCCCGGGGACGACCGGCCCGGGGAGGGCGCCGCGCTGCCGGGGAGGGCTAGTGGCGCACAAACGGCTGTCACCATTGGGGGCCGATCTGCCCCTGGTCGTCCCAGTGATCGCGGTTGGTGATCCGCCTGGGTGTGACCTTCCTTCTTCGTGCCTTCTCTCCCCTCCCCTCTCCCCTGATAATTGCTGAGAAGTGATGCCACTCAGTGGTCTAAAGTGCGGAATGCGTCAAGCTTCTCAAGCCGTGGTTACGACGATGATGTAGCAGTTAAAGCTAAGGTGCGGCGAATGGTACATTCCCCTGAAGCTAACAGGGAGAAGCGTTCCTTCCTGTACGCGGGTTCTTCATGGTCCGGCATGCCGGGGAGGGGGGAGGAGTTGATCCTCTTGACTCGGTGTCTGAGACATCCCGGAGCCTTCGCCTGGGTCCCGTGGCCAGACCCCGAGAATAGCGGGGTGTACGTCGGTCCGGGGTAGCAGCCGATGCCTTCACACCTTCCGTCAGCGAGCTCCCCCCCCCCCCCCCCCCCCCCCACGTCTGGCGTGAGTCGAACCCCAGCGCCCGCCACCCGCGGGGGCCAGCGCTGACCGGCGCCCGTCCGTGCCCAGGCGTACCACTACACGGACGGCGGACGGCCGCTCCACGAGGTGCAGTACCTGGACCTGGACCTGGGCGAGACGGGCGAGACGGGCTCGCCGCGCTCGCCGGCCAAGACGCCGCTCGGCCGCGAGGCCTCCACTGGCACCGTCTACAAGACTGTCGACTTCGTCAAGACGGAGGCGTTTAACAAGACGCGCCAGAGCGTCGAGCTGGAGCGCACCAAGACGGACGGGCCGGCGCCGCTCTCGCGCAGCTCCGTCGACGTGAGCCGGCGCGGCGAGACGTAAAGTGGCGCGGCGCGGCGTGGAGCGGCGCATCGAGGACAGTCGCCGCTCGGCGGCGGCGTTTGTTGCAGATATTAGCGGCGGTGGATGCGGCTGCTGGAGTGAGGCGTCGGGCCGCGACGCGCCGGATGGGTGGCGCGTGCGCCGAGGTTACCAGGCGGGTGGCCGGCTGATGGAACCGACACATATCCCTCTGCCTTATGTACCGCTTCTGTTGAACTTGACGTCCGGCCGGTGAGTGGGACGACCGCCGTGACGAGATTTGTGAAATACCGCCTGTTGTTGCGTCGAGGCCGGTTTATCGGTGACCACGGCCGTTGTGGCGTGTACAGAGTTCCTGAGTCGTGCAGTGTCGGAGCGCGGTGTACATAGCGGACGCGCGCCGGCCGGTGGCGGGCGAGAGCGGGCGCGCCCCGCCCTCGCCCGCCACTCCCCGCTCAAGCGGCCCGGCGCCGCTCCACGAGTGCCTGGCGGCGGCGGAGCGTGCGTCCGCGCAGGGGCGCGCCGGCTGCCAGCCGGGCCGCCCCAGCGCCTGCCCATTCTAGTCTGCGCCGCTCGGCCGCCGCGGCCCCTCGCCTTTCGCGCTGCTCTGTGCCTGCTGGCCTCCCGCTGGTGCCTGGAGCCCATTTTTTGGGCCCCGCGCGGCGCTTTTCCCGCGCAGGCCGTGAGCTTTATGGTAAATCATCGATTGGCGTGTTTTTTGAAGATTTACGTGATTGGAGTGTGTAGGGACTTTCGTTAACCGGCTGCGGACGAAGACGTCATATGCCCTGTCGCCTTTGTGTTCCTGTGCCCGTGCCCTGTCCTCAGGCGTTCGGCATATGACGCGAGCCGGCCGCCGTCGCTGCGCTGCTCGCAGAGGCCGACACTTACACTGTGCAACATGGTCACGCTTGAAGCGGATCGGGACTGTTTTCATTGTTCTCTCTCGCACAATAACGTTTCGGCAGTGATCGTGAGCCGTCCGTTTTGCGTCGGAACATGCGGCAGCAGGCGTGAGCGGCCGCCGTGCGCGGGTTTGGTGGACGAACCGAAATCAAAGTGTGGTGTCTTTCTGCCGCCGGCTGGTCGTCTTGCCATATCGGCTGCGGTTCCGATGTGACGGCCTGGCGGCTCGCTCTCGCTGGGCACGCGGCGCGGGCGCACCCGCTCGCCCGAGACCCCGCCCGCGAGGCACGGCAGCAGAGCGCCGGCGCTGGCTGGCTGCTGGGCCAGCCCAGGTCACCACCCCGCTGAGCCGCCGGTGTGGCCGCCATCGCCATGCAGAATACACTGTGATTTGCCATGCTGCCGCGGCTGGGTGGAAGGCGGGGCAGCGGAAACCTTCAGCTCGCACGTCCCGAATGTATTTAGATCTGTTGGCGATTGGCGAGCGAGACGAGCCATATGTGGATCCCGCACGACCGCGGCGCGGCGTCGCATGACGCTGTGCACGTCGCTGTGGTCATGTCATGATGACTACAGGTCAGCGTCACACCCGCCGCGCGCAGCACTCCTCCACCAGCTGCCCATGGCCTGGCCGGTCGCGTTCTGAAACTTAAGTATATTGGCTCCTAAGCACGGATCCGCCACAGCGGCGGAGCCACACAGACACACGGGAGCGGCCGTCTAGTGGGGCCGCTGCACGACGCGGTTCGAGCCGATCGCCCGGCCTCTGTGACACATTGTGATGGCAGATTAGCCGCTCGCTCCAACGCCGAACAACCGTGGGCGCCGGGGCAGGCGGCACCGATCGAGCCGCGGCCGGCCAAAGATGGGTTCGAGCCGGTCGCCCGGCCTCTGTACAGTCTTTGACACATTGTGATGGCAGATTAGCCGCTCGCTCCAACGCCGAACAACCGTGGGCGCCGGGGCAGGCGGCACCGATCGAGCCGCGGCCGGCCAAAGATGGGCTCGAACGGCAGACAGCGCGTTAAGAATCGAACAACACATACAACCGCCTGTACACGGGAAGGACAGTCACGCTACGAAGCTCCTACCTCGCCACACGCCTGCACAGCTGGCGCGTCGCTCCCGGCCCGGCTACGGAATGAGCAAGTACACTAGCTGTACATCGCACGTATTTAAAATGTTACAATCGATTCAACTACGATAATGGTTCGTCAAACTGAGTGGATTGTGTGGAAGTGGAGTGATAACTACGTTGGTGCAGGCACATTTCCTTTGGCTCGCTGTTCGTAAGCCGGTGGCCGCTCGTCCATCACAGCAGATCGTCGAAGGCCAATGGAACGTTTTGCGACCGAGTGGCGGCCACACGTGGGCTGGGAGCGCACGTGAGCCCCGCGCGGCCTGAGGCGGGTTCGAGCGACCAGGCCATACTTTGTTTCAACTCAGCATGTAACGCACGGCGTTCCGACTCATCGGCAGCCAAAGGGACCGATTTCGAGAAAGAAGATATCACGACCCCTTAAAAGTACAGAGGAGGGAAGTGACGCTTTGTCGCTGCCCAGACGGGCCTTAAACCAACATGTTGCCTACACCGATGGCGCGCTAACGCATCTCCCGCGGGCGCTTCCTGCAATCCCCCTAAGCAAACAGCACGGGTCCCCCTCTGGAATCGCTCACCCCTCACCGCTACCAAAGGTCGTCGACACTCGGCCCCGCTTCACACGTCTCGAGTGTGCGGCTCGGCCTCCGGAGCCGGAGCCGGAGCCGGAGCCGGAGCCGGCGTCGGCTCTAAATGCCCGGGGTCGCCGCCGCCGTCTGCCGGCGAGACTTGCGCCGCGGCGCCGGCGAGTCGAACGTCATCAGGTCCTCCCCGGTTGTCGCCAGTGGACTCGGCCGGCCGCAGTCGCCCAGCAGGCTGGGCAGGCGCCGGGAGCGGCGACTCTGGCGCAGTTCGGCGGTGTTGGCGTTCAGCTCAGTCAGCGGCAGCGCCGAGCGGCGGCCTGCGGACGTGGCGGAACCGGGGATCAGACGATGGCGCGGCACCGCACGCCGACAACACCACGGACGGGTGGCGGCGCCGGCAGGCCAACACAGGACCGCGCCGGCAACCGCGCCCTGATACACACAGGTGGCAGAGAAGCGTGCAACGCCTGGAGGTGCCGACTGCCCGAAAAGGAGCGGAACCGATTGTTGGTCACCCTCCAGGCACTATGACGCAACCCAGTCACGCATACAGACGCGCTGGCTAAAAATAGGCCCCTATGTGACATGTACCAGCCACGCAAGAACATGCCGCAGTGAAATAACTGACAAAGCATTGGTTGCACCTAGCTAGCACGGAGTTCGGAACGCAAATCAAGTCATGCTACTTGCTCATTCAAGCTACCCAAACCCAGCAGCAATGTGACATATTTTCAAACATGTACTTCATGAACCATAGCAGAAACACGGGCTTTCAACGAAACTCGCGCACTCTGCTCTTTCCGCAGCGCACAGCAGCAGAGCGACAGCTCCCACACCCTCCGAGCCCCAGTCATCACTCACGCCACCACTCCCAGCACGGTCGGCCGGGCCGCGCTCGGTTACGTACGGGAGGCGCGCGCCACCTTGGGCGTGTCGGCGCGCCGGCTCATCTCGTGCGGAGGCGGCGGCCGCTCGTCGGCCGGCGCCGGTGGCGATGGCGGCGGCCGCAGCGCCAGCTTGGCCGCAGCCGTGACGCGCACCAGCGGACTGAGGTCGCTCAGGCGGCGGCTGGCGCCGAGCAGCGCCGAGCGGCGCAAGTCGGCCCGCTGCCGGCGCGACGCCGCCTCTGTCGCCAGCACACCCGCGGCGTCGGTACGGACTCGGCACCGCCCGGCACTTGACGCTGTGCACGGGCCGGCGTACAGGCGCCGGCTGCCGCTCAACGACGGATGGACCATGGCACAAACAACGGCATACGCAACAAGCACGTGCGTGTCCCAAGCTTCCCCACAAAACAACACACTGCCTCCAAGCAGCGAACAGAAACAACAGGACAATCTTCACAGCCACATGCAACAGAACCCATGCATCTGACTCTTTGACCTCTGTGGACGGCCAGCGGTGCGGACGTGCCTCAACTGACCTTCAGCAGCGGACGGGGCCGGACTCGGGCTGGCCGCCGCGGTAGGCGTGGCCACCGTGAAGAAGCCGCCGGCGAACTGCCGCTCCGGTCCGGCGTCGGGGCCGGCGGCCGCAGCCGGTCGCGCCGGTGTGGTGGCGGCGACCGGCTCCGGGACCACGGGCGGCTCCTCAGCCACGGCAGCGGCGGTAGTCGGCTCCTCGGCCGCCCGCATCCGACGTCGGGCGGCTGTTGATACGACAGCCAGGTCAGAGGGGTCGCCGCCGGCCAGCAGCCGGGCCTCGGCGTTGGCAAGGCTCATGGGGCGAACGGACGAGCCATTGAGCATACACAAAGCTGCGGGGGACGCGGCGTGCGGCCCACCCGAACACGCGGGCAAGTCACCACCCAGCCGCCGGCTGCTACACGCCTGGCACTTGAGCAACACCGAATCAATACGAAACACAGAACGGGTCCAGGACCTCTGCTGACGGACCGAGAGCGCGGCTGATCTCCGGGCCCTGCCCTTCGAACGTTAGACGGACTAGACGCGAAACCGCCCACACCACCCTTCGCAGCAGCCAGGCAGACAGGACGGTTCTGTGGACACAGTCCACGCGGCGGCGGCCGGCGCTCACCCATCATGGCGGCGCGCAGGGCAGAACTGGGCGCCGCCCTCTTGGTGGCGGCCGGGCGGCGGGCGGTGCCGGCGGCTGGCGGCTTCCTGGCCGCCTTGGCAGGGGCAGCGGCGGCGGCGGCAGGAGCTGGAGGAGAGGCGGGCGCTGCCTCCTGCCAGCCGGCCGCCTCCAGCTCCGTCAGACGAGCGAACTTGCGGTCCACGTCCTCCACCTGAGCAGTAGCGGTGACGTCAGCACCGGCCACGGCCATCGTCGCCATGGCAACCACCGCCGCTTCGACTAAGGAGCACTACCATCACTCCTGGCAGTCGGAGCATGCACGTAGATCAACCGGACTCTTCACGCAGTTGGTACCATAAACCCGCCGCAAGAAAATAAGAAAAGGCGACAAAGACATAGCACAGCTTCGGGCAGTTAACTCTTCGTGAGCGCCTGCCTTACGAAGGTGAGCAAGTGTCGACGAGCAAGTGTCGAGCAAGTGTCGACAATATCGATCAAGCGAGCCCGTATGGCTGGAGGATATTACGCGGCGAAAGGTCTCTCAAACTTGAGGGAGCCACGCATATCGTGCTGCACGACATATACGTGTCCCTTCTAATTGTGAGAGGTCCCGGCGGCATGCGCTTAGACCTACGCACTACCCCACTTGGACCCAGGACACCAGGAACCGTCCGGTCAACAATACAGCCTTACCACCGAGGCCAGCACCAACGACCTCTTCACGCGCTGTGTAGTGTACGTGCCATCGGTCCGTCGGCGGTTGGCCACGCCTCCACAAGTGTTCAGCCCACTCCCAATGTCGCAACGGCTTCTGCCCGGCCCACAGCCGTCGCCGCGCAGTGACCGTCCACCGCCGCCGGCCGCGCCACGTCCTCTCACCTGGAAGTAGATCATCTCCCAGAAGCCCTGCAGGTCGGTGAGCGTGGTGGGCCGCGGGCCGCGCAGGAACTCGGCGCTGTCCACCAGGCCCTCGAACTGGCCGAACCGCTCGCGGATCAGCAGGCGCGCCTGGCCTGTCACCGAGCGCAGCTCGCCCTGCGCCTCCGGCAGCGGCGCCCGGCCGTTCGCCTCCGCCTCCACCGCCAGCAGCGCCTCCCAGCGCCCGGCCAGCGCCGACAGGCGGGCCGTCTCGGAGCTGAGCAGGCCCCTGCAGACGCGGCGACGCCGGGGTCACACGCGGGACAGGCGCACGTCCCGCGGCTGAGCAGACTACCGCGCCAGCGGTCCTTGCCGACGCGGTCAGAACGCGCCCGTGCCTACACACACCGCGCCAAACGCATCTGACAGCAAGTTCACGACAGTGGGACCAGCGGCTTCCAGTGGCACAAAACAGCCTGCTAACGATCCGAAGTGCCGTCAAAACGGCAGACAGCTGCAGCTGCGGCCCGTTCGTCCACTCGTGACCCTGGCGGGCTGAAGCCCTACACCGGCGCAGCTGGTTATCCCCCGGACGCCTCGCCCCCGACGCGGCTCTCGCCTCCACCCACCTGAAGTGCTGGATGGACAGCTCGGGGCCGGGGGCGGCCGCAGCCTCCGCGGCCGCCGGCTGCCGAGCCGGCGCGTCATCGGACTCCGCCTCCGCCTCCGCCTCCGGCGCCGGCTCCGGCTCCGGCTTCTGGGCCGCGGCCGGCTTCAGCTCCGGTTTAGTGGCCGGCTCAGGCTGCGATCTCTGTTCAGTGACCGGCTCCGGCTTCGACTTCTGCTCAGAGACCGGCTCCGGCTCGGGCGGCTGCTCAGAGACTGGCTCCAGCTCGGGCTGCTGTTCGGAGACGGGCTCGGGCTCGGGCTCCGTGTCGGAGGCGGGCTCCGGCGCCGACACCGGCTCGGGCTCCGTGTCAGACGAGGAGAGCGCACTCAGCATCTCGGCGCTGCTGGATGTGGCCTCCGAGCCGGTCTCGGCCGGCGGGTCACGCCGCGCCGGCGACCGACCCCCGTCCGAGCCGTTGGCCAGGCGGAAACGCTTCTGTCCGGGCTGGTCGCCGTCCGAGAGCGGGTCTGGCGAGGCATGGGTCAGCGCCGTCAGTAGGCAGGCACCGACAACAACGGGACGGATGCTGGTTCAGTGGTCACGGCTGAAGAACGACGGCGGCTGCCAACCACCAATCTGATGTTTTAGCGGGAAAATACATTGGAAGCAGCATGAAAACATCATGCGCAATGGCAACATGGCGCCAAGCCGCCGCAGGCCGACACGTGACAGCAAATCTCTCGGTGGAGCCGTCATCAAGGCAACGTCGCCGGCGCCGGCTGACCGGGACGCTATGTCGCGCCGCCGCCGCCGGCCCCGCCCTCACCGTCCATAACGATGGACTGGGCGGCCCGCTCGCGCGCCTCCTGCTGCCGCTTCCGCTTGGAGGAGGAGCCGCGCGTCAGCGTGATCCACGGCGAGCCGATCAGGTGGCGGAACTGGCCGATGGCGGCAGCCACGTGGGCGGCTGCGCGGCACATCGGCACTATCAGCGGCAGCAGCAGCCGGGCCGCACCAGCCGGCAGCCAGGCCACGGCCTCCATCGCCGCCGCTCGGCCATGCACTATCGCTCGCCGGCCCGCCGGCCGGCCGCAGATAGCTCGGCCGGCCGGCGAGCGACGTTGCACCCGAGTGAAGGCGCAGAGGGGGAAGGGGGGAGGGGGAGCGCTTGGAGCAATCATCGCTTATCAGCTTGCGACGCGTCGCGTGCCGTCGGATGCACACTCGTCACCCAGTCACGAATGTTGACGATGAACGCAGCGTCTACATGCTTAGAACAGTGCGCTCCCGCCAGACACCGTTTAGAGGAAGATCTGATAACGGCGTCTCGAGATTACGCCTGCATTTAGCGCGTCACACAACGTTCGCTCGCGTGGCGTGCTGACGCCGATCGCCAGCCGGCGCCGGGGCGGGTACCTGGCGTGCCCATCGTGTCGGAGTCAGAGCCGGAGTCGAACGGCGGCGGATGGTGCGCGCGCGGCGTCTTGCGGTAGCTGAAACGGCAGACCCACCGGTCAGCACACACACACACGAGCCGAGTGGCTCCCCGTCTGTGCCCTATTCACCAATCTGGGCTCAGCACACCCGATCCACGCCAACATTACCCCAACGCTCCACTTATGCGGCAGTTGACATCATCAGCTTCGCCGCCATCACAGGTGCCGCACGACCTCCCCCTCCCCGCCCCGATTCCCACGGCCCACGGCTCGGCCGGCGGCGACAAGGACGTCGCTGGCCGCAAAACAGACAAACATCGTCCACCGAGAGACAGATAAAGCATCAGCTGAGCCTGGCGCCTCAGATGCGTCTCAGCTCAGTATCAGAGAGTACGGGGCCTGGCGCCTCAGATGCGTCCCAGCTCAGTATCAGAGAGTACGGGGCCTGGCGCCTCAGACGCGTCTCAGCTCAGTATCAGAGAGTACGGGGCCTGGCGCCTCAGGCGCGTCCCAGCTCAGTATCAGAGAGTACGGGGCCTGGCGCCTCAGACGCGTCTCAGCTCAGTATCAGAGAGTACGGGGCCTGGCGCCTCAGACGCGTCCCAGCTCAGTATAAGGGAGTACGGGGCCTGGCGCCTCAGACGCGTCTCAGCTCAGTATCAGGGAGTACGGGGCCTGGCGCCTCAGATGCGTCCCAGCTCAGTATCAGAGAGTACGGGGCCTGGCGCCTCAGACGCGTCCCAGCTCAGTATCAGAGAGTACGGGGCCTGGCGCCTCAGATGCGCTCCAGCTCAGTATCAGAGTACGGGGCCTGGCGCCTCAGATGCGTTCCAGCTCACTATCAGAAAGTACGGGGCCTGGCGCCTCAGATGCGTCCCAGCTCACTATCAGAGAGTACGGGGCCTGGCGCCTCAGATGCGTCCCAGCTCAGCATCAGAGAGTACATGGCCTGGCGGCGGCCACGGCCGCCGAGACCGTGTCGGGCCGCAGTCCGGGGACGGCGCGGCACCGACCCGGCCGACTGACCTGGCGCGGGCCGTCCTGACCGGGGTGCGGAACTGGATGGCCGACACGCCGCGCGGCGCCTGGAATCAGCGGGGCGGCGGTCAGGCAGCAGACGGCCCAGCCGGCTCTGTCAGGGACGACGCCACCGGGCAGGCCGACAGACGGCACAGCCGGCTTTGTCAGGGAGGACGCCACTGGGCAGGCCGACAGACGGCACAGCCGGCCCTGTCAGGGAGGACGCCGCTGGGCAGGCCGACAGATGGCACAGCCGGCCAGCGCATGTCATTGCCGACCGGCAATGGGGCGGCGCAGGCTTTGTTAAACGGCACAGAGGTATTACATGCACTTTGTAGTTCACCTGCGCGCAATCGCGCGATGTTCAATGATGCACGACAGCTGGTATCCGTTACATTAGGCTACCGTCGCAATACCGTGTTCAGCACAGATATCTAGACGTCTCCGGCCAGCAGGGCCTCACCTGGAACTGATGGTGTTCGGGGGCGAACGAGACATGCGCGGCCGACTGCGGCGGGTCACCCACCGCCGGCAGCGGCTGCTCCTCCAGCACAGAGGTGGCGGCCGGCTGCGGCGGGTCCTCCAGCACAGAGGCGGCGGCCGGCTGCGGCGGGTTGCCGGCCACTGGCTGCGGCTGCTCCTCCAGCACAGAGACGACGGCCGGCTGGCGGCGGCGGCTGGAGCCCCTGCCGGCCTCATTCTCTGACTGCTGGTCGTCCGGCTGGGCCGCCGTCTCCAGCGGCTCCGGCTGCGGTGCCTGGACCAGACCGGCGGCAGCGGCCGACGCCCGCGTCACCCGGCGACCGGCGACGGGCCGGGCGACAGACTTCGCGGCCGGCCGGGCGGCTGGCTTCGCGGCCGGCCGGGCCGCTCCTGGACCGGCGCCCTGTCCGACATGGGACAACGGGGCGTCAGCCGGGATGGACAACAGGCTGCGGAGGGATGCACGTGTTTCACCCGTCCCACACTGTCCTCGAAGCCGTTGAAATGGCCACCTCTCGCCTAACTCACCACGGTGCGCGCGGTGGCCCGAGTCGGTCGGCCGGCCGGCACCGGTGGCACACCCGGCGCCCGACGACCCCTTGCGCTCTGTGCCGGGGCTGGAGCCCGTGCTGGTGCTGGTGCTGACACGGCGGGAGCTGCGCGGGCTGGCGGCGGGCGGCAAGGCGGCGGCCGCGCCATGGAACGCGTCACCCGCTGCGCTGGTGCCGCCGTCTGTCGGACGGCGGCTGCAGCAGAATTGTTAGCATCAGCCACGAGTCTCTCGGTGGGAACTGTGGGGTAGCTAAAACCGCGAACAGGAAGGAATAGACCAAGCCTCATGCTATTCACATTCTAAGCACATAAGGTCACATGATTCATGATGGTTGAACTATTTGCATGCCTTGAAGCACTCACAACACACACAACGAATGCACCCGACAAGTACTGTGAAGCAGCCCGCTGCAGATAACTGTTAACAGCTAGTGCTTCGAAGGTTTATCATGCAACTGTAGCTGTGTTGTGAGGGATTACCAGTTCAGCCTACCGTTTGCCCCATCGTATCGGCGCCACCTCAGACATTCGCCATTGGCATTTGCTACATTTGCTACACACCTGACCGGGTGCTCGCTCAGCAGGGCTGCTGCGCTGGCGCGTTCGGGCGCTGCGCCGCCACCGCCGCCACCCAAGCTAACCTGTCCTGCGGGCGGCCGGCTGCGCCTGCGTCTGCGCCTGCGCTTGCGGCTGCGGCTGCGGCTGCGGCTGCGTCTGCGGCGCCGGCTGCAACGGCTCGCTGGCGACGTACTCGGCCGTGTTATATGTGACGGCGCCGACCCTGAAGGGCGGCTGGCGCACGCGGCGCTCCTTGTCCACACGGCGGCGCTGGTCGCGGTCGGCCTGCCACCGGCGCAGCTGGTCCCGCCGGCTCTCACCTGACGGCAGGAGGGCACGCGCCGTCACGCACGGGCCAACCCAGAGGCCTGGGGCTCAGCTCGGGGGGCCAGGGTCAGGAGCCCCAGGTCAGGAGCCCCAGGTCAGGGGGCCCAGGTCAGGAACCCCAGGTCAGGAGGCCCAGGTCAGGAGGCCCAGGTCAGGAGTTACTTATTAGCTGGGAACGAACACGCATATCACTAGCAGGCCGACCTCAGACATACCACTGGGTTCAAAACAATTTCTAGCAATTCGGAATGCAACTTAGTACACAACATTGCTGGCACTTTTCTGGGACTTCCACTACGAAAGTTAACAAGCGAATGACTGCCACCAGCAGGTGGAGCGGATGAGCAGGCAGCTGTACACACCAGGCTGGGCGTGCGCGGGACGCGCAGGCGGCGCCGGCTGGGGAGGCGCGATGTGCCGGTTCGCCATGTGCACGCGGTCGCGCTGCTGGCGACGCTCTTCGTGGCGGCGCACGGTGGCCAGCAGACGGCGCTCGTCGGGCCGGCGGTGGCGGCCGGCCAGCAGCCGCAGACGCTCCTCCGGTGCTGGCATGGCAGCGCTGCTGCGGCGGGCGGACGAACGCGGACGGCGCGTGCGGCACGGCTCCTGGGCAGAGCAGCTGAGGGGCAGCTGTCCGGTTAATGCTGTCATCCTGCCTGCATCATGACATTGCCATTGGGCTGGAAAGCATGCAGTGGTAAAAAAACCATGCATCCCAGCTTGACATTGTGACTCAGGTCTTCAATATTTTTAAAAAATATTTCATACATGGCATGAAATGAAGCTTCAGATGTTGGATTAATATTTGTTAGCTCCCTGCAATTTCATGTCAATGAATATATATGAGAATTTCATGTTTCTCCATAACTCTGCCAGACTGGGCATGCCATTCAAAATAACGCCCCTCAAATTATATATATTTAGGTCATGTTGCAAATTTATGCTCTAAATGCTGGATTCATTCTCCTGAAAAACTTCATGACCATAATTACTGTGTCTTGTCTTGTTTAACTGCCGAGAGATTTTCAGGGCTACACCAGGCAATCTGGGCCACATTCCCTCATTTTCACATTGTGATATTACCTGAATTTTGGGGTAATAATTAAATGTGGTTATTTTTAAATGGTTGCATTTGGTATGCCATTATGACAAAAATATCCTTTGCAAAGCATACATTCTATTCAGTAAATACAATGCACTAAGACCTTGTGTTGCCTTATAGCCAGTCCTTAGATGAGACAATAATGAATGTTACCCCTGACTGTTTTTGCACTGAACATAACCAATGTGCAACCAGGGAAGGTGTGCTGAGAACAGCAAGAGATATACAGATACCATAGTTTATGGATTGCTCCAGTCATTCATGATATGCACTATACATGCAGATATGAGGGCACCACTGATGAAGGATGATCAAAAGGGCACAAAGGTGACTGATGCTTAGGGTAGCATGAGAGGGTGTTACATTACAACCAGATAAGGTAGCATACCATGCTGGGATCATTTTTTCAATAACAATCAGCATGTAAAGGGGAAAGGCTTTAAACAACATAAATAGTCATTAATCAGGAGGAGATGGGCCAAAATGGACAAAAATATATTAATTCACAGAATGCCCTGATCTGGTCTCCAAAAAAGTCCACTGCGCTGGGCCCTTACAAATGATATTGGCATTCTGAGCCAGCAGCATGTGTGCAAAATTCAGAAAAAGCCAAATTTTACCAAATTTTGAAGTTACTTTACCTTGAAAAAATCATGAGGTGGTGCTCTTGCTGGAAAGTACCTCAGCAACATCATAATTCCTTCAAACATTGCCTCCAAATGCAATGAAATCAGTGGTGACTATGCACCAAGCTTAGGGATCTCAGATTCACCTTCAAATACCCTGAACTTGTTGCCACTGCTATGCCAGCCATATTCAGGTAGCATGTATCATGGGTAGTCTGGGTTCCAGTCAGCAAGCACTAAACCTACTGAGTTGAGCAGGTTTGGCCTTCAAAGGTGAACAGTTAAAAGAATGGTGCAAAGCGGATGCCAAACCAGCTGGCCCAGAAAATACTCGATTCAGGGACACCCCAAAACATCACACTGATACACACCTACACCACAGCGCTCATTCGTAAGAACTTGCGCGGCCCGTTATCTTACCCAAAGCAATGATCGATCACTTAACACACGACACGGCCTAACTGTTCGCTGCGCTGAAATTTCTTGACAGTATCAATCATAATTTCAGCGCATCAAAATAGCTAATATCACAACACGTATAACTTCAAGTACAAGCGCAACACCCACAAGGATCACGACCTCCGCGTCGGACAATTTGAATCGCTGCTATCCGTTTTGTTGCGCAGTTGGAGGGAACACTATGCTACCATATTAGGAATATTTCCTGAGCAGCCCAACTTTCCTTCGTAAGTCAGTTGCTGCACTGAACAAGGTCCACGTTCGGTCCGTCCACAGCACGTTCGTCGAGCCAAAACGCCGCCCAGGAAAAACACTACACTTTTTGGCAATTTTCATCGTCTTTCCCATGGTTGTCCTCTCTAACGGCTGAGCAAAGCCCCCTCCTACTGGTTACGCTGGGTTGAGCCTAATATCCCGAAAAGATGGCATTTTTCAATAGAATCTGAACGTAGCCCTGCTAATCTCTTCCAAACGTAGCGTTTTATATGGACGGGTGCTAAGTTGGTTGACGTTGGATGAGCCCGCTGATCGAAAACATGTGATAAATTTGTGGGAAAGCTTTTCCCCATTAATTAATCGATTTTATTGATGTAAATGGAATGACGCGAACGACGCGACGTTAAATCCCGTTCGTAAATGTGTCCGAATTTCGTGTTGACCACCAGAGCGGCGCAGCAGAGGGCGGGTGGGGGGAGGGAGAGAACACAGTTGCTCCCCCTGCCGGCAGGTGGAAAGGCGCTAGTATGCCTTCGCCCCTTAAACTTTTTGGAAAACTTCGTTTCCCAAACTAAAGGCTAGCTAGATTACCAGTTACCAGAATTACCCGTAAATTGCCCAAATTTAGATCAAAGAGGGCTGATAACTGAGAAAGAGATTAATAAGTCGGGCTCAGAAGAGCCTTTCGTGCAGCAAGAGGCCTGTTTGTAGATCACGAGGGCACCTTTTCAAACAAGGTTTCTCATTCTCGAGATCAGTAGGCCCAGGCCCTTTCACTGGTTCGGAAGGCCCTATTGCGAATTATAGGAGATACCTTCTCTGGGCTAGGGAACAATTATATTCGGGAGGTGCCGTTTCTGGAACAGAAAATTATTTTCACGTTTCAGCTGGCCACGACGCCGGGTCAGAATGACTGTTTTTGTGATAACGAGATTAGCTAGATTTGGAGGCCCCTTCATGAATCGGAAGCACCCTGTTCTAGATAAGGAGACCCCTCGATGGATCAGAACTAGAGGGTCCTGTTTTTGCAGTGAGACCCTTGGCTGGGTAATGAAAAGCCATACATTCGGGATTTTTTTCAAGTGTCGACATTTACTTACTAGGTTACAATGCATATCATAATTTTATAAGGAGACGCGCGACCTCGGTTCCCTCCCCTTGAATACGACACTGCCAAGGAGGCCCCAATGAAGAGGCCTCACTTTGTCCAGGAGGCCCAAAGAAATCCTACCAAATCTTCAACTCGAAATCTGTGACGCCGCCCCTGTCCATCAGTACCTGCCCATGCCTATGTCTATACAGATGGCCAGTCAGGTCAGCGAGAGGGACTAAAATCCACCAGCGTCAGTCCAAATCGTTGTCATGACAAATCGTCGTTTCTGTCAAGTTATATAATGCGGTTACGAGAAGCCTGGGATACTAGCGGACATCTCTAAGTATGGACTGAAAGCCTGCATTGCATGGAAGTCGGATCCCCCACACAACCTTCCAAGATGAACTCGAATTTTTTGCGCCAGCCTGTGACGAAGTAAAGCAAAACGGCTCCCTTTCACCGTCTCGAGGCTATGACTCCTGTCTACCCATCTCTAGACTCGCCATAGTGATAAATGGCGTGTCATTTCGAAGCCAGCGCGAATTTGCAAAAAAAAACAACGAAAAAACGCTCCCACATGTCCAAAACGCACATCTTTCAAAGGGCGTATTTCATTCAAGCTCATTCATTGAGCCGAAACTCCGTCCGTGACCATGTCGCACCAAGCGGCCAGACGCAGGCGGAAACCCCACATACATATGTCTGACATAGCTATTACGGATGCTTACTAAAAGCGACTTTTAATCCGATTCAGAGTCGTCTAGTGGTCACCAACGACACCTGCACCAAGCTCACTGCAGACATCGATTTGAGCGGCGGCCGGTCGCGCCTCGTCGGGACCGACGTACCCTTCCTCGACTCCGACGCGCCGGCGGCGACACGCGCCAGGATGCCGTCTGCGCGCGCAGCCGCCGCCGCCCGGCCAAACAACGGAGCCGACGCGGCCACAGTCGCGAAGGCGTGGCGGTGTCCGCGGCGGGAGCGGGCGGCGGCGGCGCGTGCCGAGGTGGGACCCGGCGCCGGGGGAGCGGAGCGTCGCCTGACGCCAGCGCCAGGTAAGGCGCGCACCAGATGTGGGGAGGGACTTGTCTGAAAGGTCGGACCGGGTGTGACAGTGGGACCGC